GTACTCCTTAAATGTATCAATCTGCTTGCTTTTAAACATTTCAAAAACTTCGTTATCAAAAAATTACTTCATTGAATCCTCAGCGGAATGAAATAATTGTGGATTTTGATGACCTAAAATCGAAGCGCTAGAACAGTGCCATCACAGCAGCATCCAGTTAGCTTGATTTGCTCAACATAAGCTGATTAAGCATACAATTATATTTTTTACGAGTATAGTTAGAAGAATATAAGAACTACTAGCCGCATCAACTTACAATAGTCTTCATGATAGTTTAGAAGTTTGCATATTTTCACTTCTTTCAAAAACTATATAACTATTTAACTGCTGCTTCTTACAAACTTCCAGATGCTAAAAAAATAAGCTATACAGCCTTATATGTCCTATAAGTTGTTTCAACTTCAAGCTTTTTTGAAATATATATAGCAATATTATTAAAGGTAAGTTGGATGTTTGCCTATGCTCTCAGTGATGTAAGATGAGGCCATACATCGAACAAGATGCTTTCCTATGCCCTCAGTGTAGTAAGATGAGGTCATAGCACTACACAAGCCTCTCAAACAGGCATTATTAGTAAGTTATGCCCATGGGCTTCGAAAATTTGTTCCCCAGTCTCTCACTTGGAGAGTTTAGGTGATTTTCCAGTCAAATTTTTAAAAGATTGATTAGATTGAAGATAAGACCACTCGGAAATTTCGTCTTCTTTGCCATCGTCATACACGAGGACCAGTCGTATTTGTCTAAAAGTGAACTGACATTAACTATAGGGACATCACAACATTCGTTGCATGCTAATTGTTATCACTATGTACAGGCTACTGGGTGTTCATCTGCAAGTTGACCTGTATTTATGACAAAGAGGCCATCCCCTTTACAACCTTCTCATCTTACTTGTAAGCATGCTACATCCCTTGCATGCTACTCGTCATTGCTTGCAGGAGTTAATATGTTTGTTCATATGTTGATATCAAATGCAGGATGTTGTTACATTCATTGTAGGTTATTAGTACTTGCACCTTTCATTATGGTTGTATCTATTTATTTATAAGCATAATTTGATATGAATATTGTGAGTCAATTCTTATTGTTTAAGAATTCCATGTCATGACTTATAAAGTTATAATCATGTCATTGCTTGTAAGCAAGTTGTGTTTGCTAGTTCTTTTTTCATCATAAGGGGATTTATTCATCTATGTTCAATTATTTTTCATTTTATGAATTACAGATTTGTTTTATTCATTTATTAGAGTCTAGTTACATGTTGTCCATTTAAGTCCCCTTTAGTTATTCAAGTTATGTGTCATTTTATTCAAATTAGGTTCCATGTGCTCTGAATTTCAATAGCCTCCCAGAATCTCCCCCACTTAGGAAAATTTTGGAAGTCTAGGCCTTTCCACCACACTATAAAAAGTGTGCATAGTAGGTGTCGGGCAACACCTCAATCATGATTTTCTTCAATCCAACCACATTATGAACAGCGTGTATGTGTCTTCAAGGTACATGTTTGAAAAAAACTTTTTTTCCCCACAGGCATGATGGGTACTTGGTGTTGTGTATGCCATACTACGAAGAGTGTGTACATAGCCTACCCACCTCGCCACAAGCACTGCTCTAAGCTTTATTCCGCCATGTTATAAAAAAGCGCGTATGAGCGCTCCTCCGGCGCGCTGCGAGCGCAGAAAGCGGGATTTGAAGATTTTGAGGCTGAGGGGCATTATATACCTTAGCGACGGTGGCGGCGTCGATATCGACGATGAGTAGATGGTTCGTGCGGATCTCACGAGTGGAGGCTTGCACGAGCGGATGGTGTTGTGAGGAATTTCAGGCTCGATTGCAGGCTGCAAAAGGGTTGATCGGGTTGGGTAGAAGGACTTGTTGGCGACTTGTGTGAAGTGTTCGGAGAAGGTTGCGGGAATTCTAAGCGCGATCAAGCTGTAGAAAAAAGAGAAACAAAATAACCAATTAATTAGGCTTCGTTTGGAACTTTTATTTGGTCTGGTGAACGTACACAGAGCTACGTTTGGCCGGCACTAAGATCGCAGGCACAAAACGAGAAATACCGAGCAATACCAACAATAACGAGAAATACCATTATGTGAAGACCAAATACCGAGTAATACCGAGCAATACCAAGTAATCCCAAAAAATACCGAGTTTTTCTAGAAAAACTCGGTATTTTTTGGGATTACTCGGTATTGCTCTTCACAGAGCGGTATTCCTCGTTATTACCAAACAATACCTAGCAATACCGATCAAATACCTAGCAAAAACTGAGTAACAATCTTCTGACCGAACATAGAGCTACGTCCGATCAGAGGACGTAATAAAAGTTCCTTCGTTTGGCCTCATTTTAATGATGGGAATAGCATTTGATTGAGGCAATATGTGGGATTTACGTAGGATTTCTGGGGATTTGAACAGAGAACATGCACAAAACACCCAACGTAGTCTCTGATTGAGTTGATTTTCTTTTTAATATGGTTAATTAATTAATTATGATAATTTTAAAATAACAGAGGAAAATGAGGGGAGGATTTCATTTTGTTTTTAATTTGCATGCCATCGTCTTGTTTTGTATGTTGATTTCCTTGTCTTGCATGTCGATTTCCTCATTTTACATGTTGATTTCCCCGGGGGAGTTTCTTTGGATAAAATTATAGTTGAATTTGGATATTATTGACATTTCGAACGCAACGGCAAAGTCCATTTTACGATCGAATGTCATTTGGGCAACTTCACGCATTAATTTTGGATGTCGGTCATCATTTATGGCCTTTTCGCCTAATTTGGTGGAGATGGGTTTCCACTTAGGTGAATTTGACATTTGATTGCAGCGGCGCAGTCAGTTTGGTAATCGAGGTCATTTGACCCTTCAAGTGACGCATCACGCCCGCTGGCCGTCACTTAAGTCGCCAATTTTTGCTCCTTTCGCACTTTTTGAATGTGTGGGTCAACATTAAGTTTTATGGACATAACAAGTTGCAAATCGACAGTTGATTTGTCTTCATGATTTAAAAGTAATTTAGGTTTCATTTTTGATAGTTTTCTTAATGCTTTCTAAAGCAGCTTTTTAGTACAAAAATTTCAAGTTAAAAAAAAAATTTGTACTAGAAAGCTGTTTTACTAGAAAGTTGTTTTTACTAAAAAAAGTTGTCCCAAACAAAACTTTAGCGTGTATTTGACAAATTACATTTGACAAAGTACATTTGACAAATAACCAATTTTATTTCACTATCTTGTGTTTGAACTTGTTATTAACTTATTATAATTTCTTTCTGTGTGGATTCTCCAACATTTTCTCAGATGTCTTAATACCTTAACCCAAAATAGAAATGATTCTTTTTTTTAAAAATCTTTCTCCTGGGAATCATTTTTGAGTAAGCCAACGGCCTAAGCAGATCAATTTTTAAACTAATTGTACTGTACATGTTAGAAAATATTAGATAATTTTATATCTTAGTTTTATACGAAGTTCTTATACACACTAACAAATAAAAATAAAAATATACATAGAAGACATTGTAGTTTTTAAATAAAAATTTCAAAATTTCAATAAGAACGCGCCATTGCATTTTTTTGTTTGGTACTGGTGCTTAGTACCGTTGTGTACTAGACAATGTGGCGCATTCTAATAGATCTCTGAGCCGTCTGGTGTCCATACAGAATAATTTCTTGATAGATTGAGGGCCTTAAATACAATAAATTTTGTAATGTGCGTGTTAGAAAATTTATGAAAATATTGGATAATGTTACATCTTAGTTTTACATAAAGATCTTCTGCAAACTTACAAATTAAATAAATAAAAAATGAAGACATTAAAATATTTTCATAAAAAAATTCAAAATATCGTACCAGACACATTATGGAGGAGTGCTAGCTCTTTCCCTCAATTGAAGAAGAGCTTTGTTGTGTTGTTAGGATAGATGGATTGAGGGCCTTAATTAATTATTACGAGAAATTATTAGGTGCAGAGTGCGTGCGGGAGAACTGTTCGCACAAGTACTGGGTACCTAGTGGTACCCAGCAGTATTCTAGTAGTACCGAATTGGGTACCCACCAATGAGGTGACGTGGCAATTTTTTTTTTTTTTTTTTTGTCTCCGAAGGCACTCCACACCTAATAATTTCTCCTTAATAACCATACTCATCGATAGTTTCTTTCAATAATTAATTATTTTAATGAACTCAAAATCAACTAATTTTAAATTTGTTATATTTCTCTTTGATACACTCATTTTAAACTGTAAGCATACAAAAATTAGAAATCATTAATCATTCAAATAATATCATAAAATTTTTAACCAAACTATTTATGCTCATTTAGATTCAAAACAAATCACTTTTCATGTTATTAACTTCATTTCGTTGGAACATTCAATTTGACTATTAGTTCGTTGACTTTAATTTTATTCCATTGACTTTTAATTCGAACTCAACAGTAAGATTTCAATTGAATAACATTTTTATTGCTTTATAAAATTAAAATTTTTTGCACTATAAAATTACTTCAAACAGCAATAAGAAAACCGTCCCAAACGAAACATAAGATTTATACTTGATCATCTGAATTTTCTGCTGACAAATCATTTAATACAATAAAATTTTATGTAGGCACTTGACTAGGCCTAACCACGATGGCTTAAAAATATTTAAAAATTATTTTAAAAAATAGCAAAAAAACTAGCACAAACAATGGCTTTCTTAATGCTTTTTAAAATAACTTTCTAGATAAAAAATTATTATTTTTATTAAAAAACTACTTTAAAAGAAATCAGAAAGCCCAAACAAAACCTAAATCATCACTCAAAAGGTTTATGAGCTGCTCCTTTCAGTCATTTCCAAGAACACTTGATAGATGCTATCACATAAAAATACAACAAATTTCTCCCTCCTAAGCTTCCCTGATGTGCTAAAAACTGTTTTCCTTTGCAATCTTTAATCTTTATCATCAGAACAAAAATCTCATCAGTTCCCACGTTAACCCATGACACACTCCACAATGTAAAAAAAAAATTAAATTGAAAGATTCAGCAATTGCTTTGCAAATTGTTTGGCAAGTGAAGAATGCTACAAATAAGATAAATTGAAGAGAAAAAAAGGAAGAAATTACACAGAAAGTCCAAGAAATCCATGTTCTCTATACTATACAGAAAGAACAAAACCACTATCACAACATAACTGTATAACCAAGCTAATAATGGCAGTGGAATCCATCCTTGCTCTACACCTGAGGTAATTACAGGTATGCCGTTAAACTTCTCCATCTCTACTCCTTTCTTGCATCAACAAACCTCCCCTTTTTCATCCTTCAAACTTCCATCTTGAGAAGAGCTCCTTTCATGCAAGATCCCGAAGCTATCAATTCTCCTACTCTGATTCAAATTCATGACTAGCTTCTCATCATCATCTGCTGTCATGAGAGGAAGCTGTGTATCCAAAACTAAGGCGAGTTTCGACTCCGGTGCGATGCTCGGAATGCTTGCGGGGCTCTTCCCACCAATCTCCTCGTCGAACTCGTCGATGTTGTGCCGCTGGGAGATCATTGATAGATCTGCACTGATACTAAGGTCATCTTGTACTTTCGAGCGAGGGTAGCTTCCGGAATCATCTTCCAGGTCCTGCGGGCGAATTGTGGGTGGAGGTTGAGGGGGCTCATCTGGAACAATGGCACGGAAGTCATTCCTTGAGGGCTTGATCTTGGTGCAGAATACCTCCAGGAAATTGTTAAGACAACCTCGGTCATATACGTTAAGCCTGATGTCAGCTCTATATCTGAAATTCTCATATGTGGTCTGTAGTACAAGAATATGTTGGAATCTTGCTATGAAAAGAAGCCAGGAATGAAAGAAAAAAAAAAAGGTTCTGAAAGACAAACAAAGGTATGAAATAAAATGTTTGCAAAATTCAGATTCTAATTTAAAGACCACAAAAGTTGAGTTTTATAAGCTTTTGTGCACTGAACTCATTTTGGAGAGCGGCAAGTAAGAAAATGTAGCAATAAGTGCCAAGGAAACCATAAACTGTACCATCATATAGAAGTTTCAAGATAAAGTGATAAGAGACGATGCATAATAACCAAGGAATTGATCAAGGATATTGCGGGAGGAAAGCGCATAATTAACCAATGAAAATTTCATCTCATTTTTGTCATGTCCTTTGGGTTTTTCATCATTAAATCCAACTCCTGGAGATAACTTCGTCATGCCTTTGAATTTACAAGTTCCCTTGATATTTTGTTGGCTATATTTTATGGAGTTAACATAAAGTTCAATTAGTTTTCACCACCTCGAAGACTTCTCTGTTGCTGCTTTTCATTTTTCATTACACTCACCGCAATGATGTCATATGATGCTTCTAAGCTTTGTATATGGAGTGTCGCTTGAATTATATTTTCCTGAATTGCTTCACTATTTATCAAACCTAATTTTTGACGTTAGATAGAGTTTTAAAATAATAAGAAGCTCAAGAAATATGTTAGAAGTCCGGAAACAATTTCTTAAGAAAGGATTCAGCACATCACACCCTTCAGTAATTTCTCAATCAAATAAATTTCATTCAAATACTTGGTACTCCTTAAATGTATCAATCTGCTTGCTTTTAAACATTTCAAAAACTTCGTTATCAAAAAATTACTTCATTGAATCCTCAGCGGAATGAAATAATTGTGGATTTTGATGACCTAAAATCGAAGCGCTAGAACAGTGCCATCACAGCAGCATCCAGTTAGCTTGATTTGCTCAACATAAGCTGATTAAGCATACAATTATATTTTTTACGAGTATAGTTAGAAGAATATAAGAACTACTAGCCGCATCAACTTACAATAGTCTTCATGATAGTTTAGAAGTTTGCATATTTTCACTTCTTTCAAAAACTATATAACTATTTAACTGCTGCTTCTTACAAACTTCCAGATGCTAAAAAAATAAGCTATACAGCCTTATATGTCCTATAAGTTGTTTCAACTTCAAGCTTTTTTGAAATATATATAGCAATATTATTAAAGGTAAGTTGGATGTTTGCCTATGCTCTCAGTGATGTAAGATGAGGCCATACATCGAACAAGATGCTTTCCTATGCCCTCAGTGTAGTAAGATGAGGTCATAGCACTACACAAGCCTCTCAAACAGGCATTATTAGTAAGTTATGCCCATGGGCTTCGAAAATTTGTTCCCCAGTCTCTCACTTGGAGAGTTTAGGTGATTTTCCAGTCAAATTTTTAAAAGATTGATTAGATTGAAGATAAGACCACTCGGAAATTTCGTCTTCAGTTTGTGAGGACTTTATAATCTGATTCTAAATTTCTCATAGGATAGGGATAAACCCCTATGGTTAATTAACCCTCTCCATAATGAGCAAGAATTTTTTATTAAGGCTGATCATTAGATAAGTACATAGCATATAGTAGCAATAAATTTGCTATTGGATTTAAAATTTACCATCATGAACTTAAAACATATGGTCGGGAGAATGATGATGAGCCAAATCAAGATTTCATGATTCTGTCATCATGGGTTGTCATTATCACAAATTTATTTAGTTAAAGGAGGTCGTCAACCCAACCTGATTGAAATCCTCATCAACAATCACCGACGTCCAAGGGAACCTTATGGTCTTGGGTGGAAGCTTTACTAAGGGAATAAATTTAAAATGACCTTAACTAATAAAGAGCTTCGTACCCTATCAAGTGTACACTATGTTTTTTACTCAAGAGACTTCTAGCTATTGGAGAACTTGCAGGTTTTGGTTGTGACCGTAATTTAATAGAATTATTTTGCGGCAATAACACTTGATCAAAGGGACATGGTCATAACTATTTATTTGTAATGCCATATTGTAGCAAAATCATTGATTAGAGAACATGCGTCACATCCTTACCATTGAGGCGTCGTTTGAGAATAAATCATAATGATATAATCAACAAGAAATTGGCTTTTTGTTAGCTAAGATTATTCTTGAAATCAGCAACATTGATAAAAAGTTACGAAAGGTGGACGAGTATTACTTCCAAGTTTTTTGTGAGATGAATTTCTCTCAAAAAACATTTTAGATTTTTTTTTCTATAATTTTATTAACTTTTATAATTTTTTGGATGCAACCCCAAAAGTACCTACATTGAGATTTGAGGTCATTTTAAAAGGTATAATCTCATCCGATTGTATTTTCAGTCAAAGCAGCCATCATTGGGGTTTGAATATTTATTTTGAAATTTGAACTTTGTTAACTTTATCTGTTTTCTAATAGAAGATTGAGTTCAAATATCAACTTTATGAGCTACCATAAAAGCGTCAAACTTTCAATTTAGCATTTTGTAATGAATTTTTTTCGTTAAAGGTGTTGAAGACCTAATGCAAATGTAAAACAAATAACCATGGATTTTACGGTCCTATGTTCACTTGTAAGAATAAGTTTTATGCTAAATTATTTAAAACTTGTTGCTTGGGTATCCTTCATTAAATTCAAGTCTCGTCAACTCTAGTCCTTGCAAGGAGGAGAATTAAACTTGAAATGAGGAATTTATGACCTTACCTTATAGGCAGGGCGACAAACTCGAGAAACATCGTGCAAAAATAAATTTGACTTCTACATTTGAGGGTGTGTTTGTGAATTTCCAAAATGGTTATTCATTCTTCTAGTTTCACGATTCTCAGAGTGGATTGAATTTTAATTTTAACTAGTTTAAACCATATAGCATTCTTAGACATTGCATTTAAACACTTAAAACATATGTCGAAGCACATGCGAACTAGGTTAAATTTGAAAAATAAGAGATTTGTTAAGTTTCAAAAAATTGCTTCCTTTTGGAGTCAACATGCACTTTATTTAGAGAATATGTTCATTCATCTTAACCCATGCAGTATTCTCATGCCTCAAATTTAGGAATTTGATGCATTTGTTGGAACACGTGAGTGATTTTAAATAAGAAACTATATGATTTTCAAAATAATTGGAAGCTTTGTTGAGCGGTCACATATTTTCTAAAGCGAGAGAATTTTAATTCGTTTCATCTTCAACGATGCATTAGTCGGAGCACATACGGTTAAATTGATTTCAATGATCTTTTTTTTTTTTTTTTCCGGTTCAGGTCATAAATATAAATTTCGACATCACCTAATGTCTTCCCCATGTAAGAGGCATGATTAAGAGTACTAGACATTTTTACCATGCCAAGAAAGATGTGTCTAATCAATATTGTAAGACAGTATAGTTGGGGATCTTCTATCCCATTACGCGCAAAAAAAAAAAGCATGGGTCTTCATGTACTTGCTTGGAACTCATAATATTTTCCCCACCACATCAAAAAATAAGTGCAAAGTTACTTAAATTTTTCTCGCTATGATAAGAAAAGCACGCAAAAGGATTACCTACTACATTGCAAAAGACGCTTACGAGTTTACCCTGACCCCGCAGCATTAAGAAAAGTGCACATGAGTTTCGAGCGTTGTGTCAAACATGTATTCAAAATTTTGGAAATTTTTACAAGTTTGTGAAATTAAACCTCTGTGCATGTAGTGGTGATGATGATGAGAGGGTGAGGTGAGTAGGCATAAATTTTTTTTTCCCTTTTTTCTATTTTCTTTAATTTTACTTTTTCTTTTCTTTTTTTCAATTTTGTTTTTTTTCTTCTTTTTGGTTTATTTTCTCTTTTGTTCTTTTCAGAAAGAAAGGGGGAGAAAGAGAGGAGAGAGAAATAGATTGAGATAAAGAGAGAGATAGAGAGAGAACATGAGAGAAAGAGAGCAGATAGTGGAAAGAGAAAGAGGGAGTTAGAGAAAGAGAGTGGAAGAGAGGAGAGAGATAGAGAGAGTATGGGAAATAGAAAGAGAGTAAAAGTGAGAGGAGGAAGGGAAAATAGGTGAAAGGTGGCACAGGTGCAGACAACAGCATCGACAATGCCAAACATTAGTGTGACAGGTTGACAGCTGAAGCTGTGGTGGGTACTAGGTAGAAGCAACTAGGACGGCGACTAGCAGTATCGATGGCTATGGGAATGAGAGAGGGCGTGACATCGAACAAGGCATGAACTGCGGCAAATGGCAACTCGAACAATAACCAAGAACAAGCTTTTTGGGAGGGAAACACCACCTGATCTACCCCGGATATAGAACCCACAAAAACATAATTTGAAAACATTTATCAACTGTCTAATATGCCTACAACAGAGGAGATAAACCCTCTATTTATAGAGTAAGGCTACCTCAAGGATCCCTTTGGAGGCAAACATTAAAGAAAACTAACAAGAGGAAGAAGTAACATATAACAATAGAAAGGAGGTGGGTTTGATTGGTTGAACCGGTTTGGATAGGTCCACCCGATGTCATTCTCCCCGTCTAGGAGAGACTTTGGTAGAAGTTTAAGTCGATGAAACTTGCTGATGAACTTAAGAATCTTGCTTTTTTTTTCTTTTTTTTCTTATCCTCATCATCAGAAATCTTCTTCTTAGTAGTCTTCTCAATCCAGAGAAAAATGGGACAGCTGATAAACTCAGAATGCTTCTTTATTAGCTCCTTTAAACAGCATCTTCAAAGTATGAATCGAACCCAACAAAAAACTGATCAACCATGCTAACATCAGCACCACCAACTAGCGCCTCCATGAACTCCTTTGTGCTGGAACGCGCAATGGTACCAAGGATGTTGACAAGATCAGATTTGGTTATACCAATTTTGCTATCAATGAAGGTGAGCATATTTGTTGCCTTATCAAGAATGATATGAATGAATAACTCCAGCAATGCACCCAGCTTGCTCATGTCATCATCATATGCAGGCTTATCAAGACAAAGAACTCCACCGAAAATGTTTTCATCATACACGGGCTTATCAAGACCAAGAACTTCAACAAATATGTTGTCATCAAACACAAGCTCATTATAGACATCCATAGACGACGATTTCTACAATTGACCTTTAAATCCATTGAAGATGGACTCGATTGAGGGTGTGGATGAAGACTTACAGGGTGAGTCTTCAAACATGTCTTCATAGGAAGAAGGGATCTAATCAAAATCAAATATATTAATCTTGATTTCTCCATCATCCCATAATCTCCATAATCTCATAATCCTCGCCTAGCGTGGTTCTGATGTCGCCTTCTTGCCTCTTCATTACTCGACAAATTTTGATGAAAAAGCTAATGTATTCTTCCTCTTCTTGACGTTCCCCAACTTTTCTTTGCTATAATCTTGCTAACCTTTGTTGAAGCGGTTGAATTTCTCTTTGAAATTCGTCAACCACCAAATTTTGCACTGGTTTATGTGGATTCCGACTAGGCCACATCTTGCTTTGTTTAGTTGTTGATTTCTGGACCAAGAACCAGGAATTTTGTTATTAGTGGCTGGAATAGGTTGGTCACAGGTGTCTTGATAGCTGGAAGAAGAACGGCAGCCCCCAGGCTTTCTTGGAAGGGATTCCTGCACTGTCGAGACGCGATTGGGCATGTACAAGCGGTCTGGCATGAGTGCAGGACACGTAAACGAGATGAGCACAGGGTGGGGGATTTGGTCGGACCAATGCAGGCCACGGGCCGCGTGGTCGAAGGGCGCGACACGGGCAGATCCATGCAGGTTTATCTTTTGGGGAAGAATCTCTAATACGTACACACTATTAAGTACAGGATATCGAAGGCTGGAAGATGAAAGAGAGGAGAACGGTTGGAACTACTAGTACAAGCCAACAAGAAATGTTGTTGAACTCTTACGGCTAGTGTGGAAGCAAAAATGGCGGTACTTGGACTTCAATTGTTGATGCTGGACTAACAAACGGAGGGAAGAGGATAAGAAGTCGGACTGATATCAAAGTTATCCCTATCTAGGCTAGCTTCAGGACAGCATAACTCCGCTCTTTTCGGCTGAATTGTCGAATTCCACCACCCAGAGGAATTATGAGCCTAATTTCACAAATAAAGAGCATCTAGCTCTTCAACATTAGCACGATCTTCTCATAGAAATAACGTCCAGCTTTACCTAGGACAACAAGGGAGGAAACCGCCACCTCCATCCTAATGAATTAATCAAGCAAAACCCTCCCTGAGGCAACATCTTGCTAGCTATGATACCAAATGACATCGAACAAGACACGAATTGCACGAAACAACAGCTCAAACAATAACCAAGAAAGAGCTTGTGGGGAAGGTAACACCACTTGAACACCACTTGATCTACTCAGGATACAGATCGCACAAAAACAGAATTTGAAAACATTTATTATCTCTCTAATCTACCTACAAGAGATAAGATAGCCCTCTATTTATAAAGTAAGGCTACCTTAAGGTACCCTTTGTAGGAAAATATTAAAGAAAACTAACAAGAGGAAGAAGTAACATATAACAATAAAGATGTGGGTTTGGTTGGCTAAACCAGTCTAGATAGGTCCACCCGGTGTTAGGGCAAGTGATTGAGAGAGGGTGAGGGGGTTGGGAGTAAGACAAACAAGAGAATGCATGAGAAACTTGTGAATGCGTGAGAGAGTGAGATAAAGAGTGAAGAATAGATAGAGGCAAGGAAGGGTAGGGTGTGCGTGTGATGACATGGTACAAGATCGTAGGCAACAACATTGGGGATTCGTGCATCAATATGAAAGTTTTTTTTTCATTTTTTTAGATCAACAACCCCTACCCAAGTGCCTGCCTTAATGTGACAAACAACAAAGCATGGGTGAAGAGTTAGGTGCTCATACTTCAACTGCATAAGAAGAATTAGTTTTTCATGATCATGGTTTGGCATAAGGTGATGCGACAAAAAAAAAACATCAAGAGTGGGAAAAATGGTGATGCACATTGAAAAATAAGTTGGATTAACGGTTGATAAAAAGCTTCCAGACCAAGAGAAATAAATATATGAAGTAATATGGAGGACTACAAATCTAATGATTAAAAAGAGAGTATAAATGTTGATGATAGAAAGTGGATGAGAAATTTAGAAAACCCTAGGCTGAGATTTGATTTTAGCAAAACCAACAAACATACAACAAATAAACTATGAATAGAAACACTCATGACACTTTTTATTAAAAGATTTATAAAGGAAATAGCAAGATACAAGTGGATCTTCAATTGGAGAGGAAGATTTGACTTTACCAAATCCCTAGCTACCGGCTAGAGCCCTCACAACCAAAGAATCCCTAATTTCAGCAAACACAAGCCTAAAAATTGAACCCTAGCCTAAACGAACTACTTAAAACATACAAAATATAGTCAAATGCCAAAACAATCCCTCCTTTTGAATTTTCCCCCTAACCCTCCTTAATTCCTTCTCTAATTATTGTGGACCCAACCCCTCGGCCTCTTGTAATAGGGGTCAGTCCCTCCCGTACTGGTCTAACAATCCCCCCCCCTCTCCCAAAGACTCACCTTGTTTGCAAGGTGGAAAAATGGCTACCTCCTCAATTTCCTCGCCATCACAAACGGTGAGAACCTAAAGAGTTGGGTTCTTACATTTATGCCTCATTGTATACCTCTCATCACATTTGAAATAGAGTCCCTTTGCCCTTTTCTCCTAAAACTCTATTTATGCAAGCTTCTTAACATTTTTTCTAGGTCTCCCTCCTACAATCTTCTCCTTCGAGGTCTCCCTAAGAGTACTCGGTGTCAGCTCCTAAGATAACAAAAAGATGGTGGTCATCCTGTATGAAACTCCATAGTTGCTGCCTCCAATCCCTCTCTCCAGGTGCTTCTTATCCTCCACTAACTGGGCTAGCTCCATAGCCTCTCCCAAATCACGAAGCCTCATCACTCTAACTGCCACCCAAATATCTGATTTGAACCCTTTCATATAGCTCCACTCCAATCCAGTCTCTGGGAGCCGGTCCAATCAACTGGCCAAGTGCTCAAATTACTCACGATACTCCACGACTATCCAATCCTACGTCAGGGAGAAGAAATGCTCATAAAAATTCCCTCTCCTATTCGTTCAGAAACATTACAACAAGCAATCCTTAAACTCTCTTCAGGTTCATATGGGTTACATCGTATCCCTTCGCTAGTATCATGCCAACACTTTCCCCTCCACGCACATCCCGACCGTCATCAGTTGCTCCTCCTCTGTCAACCTATTGACGGTAAAGTACATTTCCACCCATCAAATCCACCCATGTGCAACCTCTCCCTAGAAAATAGGCATCTTCAGCTTTACTACACTCGAATCTCCAATGTTCCCCTTGTTTCCTCTATAATTTCCCATTCCCCAAGGGGATGGCTCCCCTCAAGTGTCCCAATCATCCCCTATACGCTCGTACCTAAACCTTTTATTAAATTCTCACATTATTCTATCCAATCCAGGACCCCTTGAATCATAATCAGCCCCTCTCATTTCAAATTCAACACCCCTTCGATCATAATCAACCCCAATCCTTTCAAATTCAACACTCCTTCGATCATAATTAGCCCCTCCCCATTCAAATTCCGCCCCCCTCTTCTCAAATTCCGCCCATACCCTTAACCCAGTTCCTCCTAAGGAATAGGCTCTAGGGGAGGCATTCTCTCCTCCCTCTAGAATCTCCACCTCCTGATCTTCCCTTCGCTTTATTGGATTAGGTTTTTCCCACTTCCTTGGTTGTCAGCGACTTCCCTTGCCTCGGACAACGCCGTTTTGGGTTGGTTCTCAAGCAACTTCTTCAACATCTCCTCCGGGATAGAAAATTTTCCATAAATCTTCTCGTGAAAGGCTGAAATTTGCCTTTTGAAATATGAAAATTGAGTTAGAAGATCTGAATTTTGATATTTCGATTGTCCGATCTCCCCTTGCAACACTTCTACCTTTCTTCTTACCATAGGTACCTGAATTTAGGCTCCAATAGCAAAAAAACAACAACTTTGATGCGAATATAGCCTCCAAACAGCAAAAAAACAGCATGATCGGAGAGGAAAAGAAGCATAAATCAGTGAGGAAGACTTCTATTTCAACCCAGGAAACGATTCTGATATCAATTTGATAGGAAGTGAATGTAGAAATTTAGAAAACCCTAGGCTGAAATTTGATTTTAGAATAACCAGAGAACAAGAAAACTAGGAATAGAAACACTGAAGACACTTTTTATTGAAAGATTTATGACAGAAATAGCAAGATACAAGTGGATCTTCCATTGGAGAGGAAGACCCGGCTCTCCCAAATTCCTAGCCGTCGGCTAGAGCCCTCACAACCTAAAAAATCCTACTTTCAACAAACACAAGCCTAAAAACTAAACCCTAGCCTAAACAAACTACTCAAAGCATACAAAACATAGTCAAATGCTAAAAGAACCCCTCCTGAATTTTCCCCCCTAAACCTCCTAAATTCCATTTCTAATTACTGTTAGACCCCACCCCAAAAAGAGGGGGTAGTTTGAGGCAGAACATGTCCACCTCCTATAACAGGGGTCGATCACTCCTGAACCGGTCTAACAATTGACAAAAGATGAAATTAGCTTTTTATGAAAATAATTTGGCATGAGGTGGTGTGAAAAGAGCATCAAGAGTAAGAAACATGGTGATGGCACCAGAAAACAAGTTAGGCTATATATAAAAACTAGAGCTTCAAGATCTAGAGCAATAAATATGCAGCAATAGAGAAAGAGATGGGGAAATACAAATCCAATAATTAAAAAGAGAGTATAATGTTGACAAAAATGAAATAGACAACAACGAAGATTAGATTTTGTCATTTTGAATGATATAAATGATACAAACTTAAAAAAAGATACTATCCCTGTTTAAGATGTCTACTTATAAAAATTTTTGAAGTTAGGATAAGGTGAAAAATGACAATTCAGAATTATTCTCTGCTTAGATTAAAGTGAAAATTATCAGTAAATACACTTTAAAATATGCCTCATTAAGTTTGTGAGTCATACAACCATTTTTAACCATTTAACATCGCTCAAGAAAGCACACAAGTTGGTACTTAATGCTTTCGATGATGGGAAACCACAGCCTTGTGACAAACTAGAAATTTTAATAATACTACTATATAAATATGTTCAGCCAGTGGTTGTAAACTTATTATTTAATTTCATTTCACTTCTACCATTTTTCTATTGTTGGTTGGGCTTTGTTTTATTTTGCTTAAGCACTTGCATAGGGCCTTTCTTGTAGTTGCACCTTAGCAAGTAGAAGTGCTTGGCATTCTTAACTGAGAGAAATATCCAAATACACTCACCTTTGATTTCACAATAAAAAATTTGAAATGGATCTTATTCTAACGACTTATGCGTTTGATTCTTTGTTCAACATCTCCTTATGATCCTTATGTATTTAATGGTTTTTACCATCCTTTTGTTCTTCAACTTTGGCATTCCCTTAATTGGCTTCTATGATCATTACGGCATATGACAGTTTTGTTCTGGTTTGGTCGTTCTTGTAAATACATGTAGGTCATAGAAAATAACATTTTCACGTAGTATTCTGCATGGATCCTTATCTAACAAGGCATCCTTCTCTCACTTTTGGTGAGTTTCTATTGTCATATGTAAAGTTAGTTGTGGCAATCTTTTCTTTCCATTGCTTACATTGAATTGATTGACTTGATTTCCTCTATTATTAAGAATTTCTATCTTGCAGCTATATGCAACTTTTTGGTTGCTTTGATTATTAATCAGGGAATTCCAAGAAGATTTGTTACTATAAATAAGTGTTTGAAACATGCACAAATCAAATTGGTTCTTGAATGAAATTATAAATGAATGCGCGCTATTCTTCAAATTTTAGGAGTAAACCCCAAAATCAAGAGATTAAAGATTTCTCGGAGAGATTATCTCCTTATATAAACATGATGCTTATTTTAGTTGAATTCTTACCCTTCTACCTTTTTCTTAACTAATTATTGTTATAGATTTGAGAATGTGATTGAATTTGAACAAATTGGATGGAATCTGATTTTCAACAAGTATATGTATTTCAAATTATTTGCATGGCTTTCTAGTTTCTAAATTTTTAGTAGAAACTAGAAAGATATTAAATTTTTTTATAAATTTATTTCCTTTGCATTTTCAATTTTCATTGAAATTATCAAATAATTATTAAATGATTAAGACTTATTGACCTGCGAATCTTGTGTGTCAAGATTTTCTGTATCTCAAAATAGATCAACATGAGAAACCTTAGGACCTAAGGTGTAATATATTGAATTTGATATCAGAACTTACGATTGTAGATCTAACTAGGATTTGTCTGTTTCGTAAGTGCACATAAACATGGAAAAACTTTATTGATCTACATTATCTTTCTTTAGTTTAATGGAAATATAGTTCTTTGAACGTCCTTGCATCATAATTGTGAATCAAATTAACCAGACTGTCAATAAAAGGGTACCCTGCATTCATTAAAATAGTCAGGTTTTCACAAAAGCGTAGCTAAATACAAATATAAGCTTGCATGATCCAGTACAAATTATCTATGCAATCAGTTAACTTTAAGGGTAAAAACATATATTATAAGAGCAGCCAAAAACAGAGGCAAAGCTAATATGAAATCCACAGACAAATCTGGCAGAGGAAGAAAAAGGCAAAACTGACCTGACCAGTACTGATGAGATAAAAATGAAAACCAGTAAGTCCACCAACAAACCACAAAGAGATAAAGCAGTATATCATGAGAATCACAGAAGCAGGGGATTGTTTCATTGCCTTCCATACCGTGGGGTAATCCCCACCCATGAGAAACTTAATGTACAACGCACACATGGCAAACACATAGATACAAAGAAGAGCCGCTGAGAAGACGAAGAAGAAAAAGTAGCGGTAGTTTCTCTGCACAAGAAACCAAACATAGTGAGAAATACTGATAAAGAACAAGTAGCAATAGTTTCACTGCATAAGGAACCAAATATAGTGAGAAATACTGAAAATAATAAATAGAAAAAGAAAATAAATTTCAAAAAGACAAATAGCCATTATTAAAATATCATAAAATATTCAAATTAATGCAATGGGGATATAAACAGTAGGTTCACTTCACTTTGCTAATCCAAACAACAATAATTCCAATAAAACATATTATGACTCCAATAAACACAGCTAAATAGCACACATCATTATCATGAAGAAATATCTAGTGTTGTTAAGGCCAATCCGAGCACTCACCTAAGTGCTTGGGCAAGATAAGTAGCAGTTCACACACCACCTAGGTAGGCAACATTGGTGAGGTATGCATTGGTTTCTAAAGGTGTAGGGTGGTAAGATATGCGCCTTCACAGATTATCAAAGGTAGGTGCAACAATCTCAGTTATCGATTACTAAATATTTAAGACGAAGAATAAGATTATGAGAAATCTGAGTAAGAGATTGGGGGCAAAAAATTCAATAATAGAGAAGAGAGCAGGGATGTTACTAAGATAGAATGAAAAAGGGATTATCCTTAGATCTACATGCTACAAACTTAAGTAGCTTTAGTGTACTTATTTAAAATAATCTATTTGGCATAATTTTCAATTTTGTAATGCAATTGAACTTAAAATTTTATTTATTTTTCCAACATAATTTGTAAGGAAAAGAAGATCCAGAAAAATCGATTCATTTCTTCTTGGTTGAAGGTACTAATTACAAGCCAATATATATAGATTCTTCTAAGAAAAGAAAGGAAACTAGCCCACAGCAAAACAAGAAAAATATATATAGAATTACACCACTAGATGAAACATTCAAACGTACAAATTTCCCTAATGTATTATTTGCAACCAAACTTGAATCTCAGACTATCCACATGAGGTTGTCGAGTCCTTTAATGCACATTTTCTAACACTCCCCCTTAAGTCATTGAATAAATACTCTTTATTCCCAATTTAGAACAATTCTTTGAAAAACTCTAATATTCAATCCTTTGACAAGCATATCTACAAGTTGTTAATCAATAGATACATAGAGTGTGCAAATCAAGCCACTATTTAGATTTTCTTTAATGAAGCATCAAAAAACTTCTACACAATTTTTTTGATCAAACTACACTGGATTGTAGGTTAAGTTGATTGCATATTTATAGTCGCAATAAAATCGCAATGAGCCATCCCATTGATTTTTCAAATCCGAAAACATGATGTCAACCCCAATAATTCACAACACCCTGAGCTTTGCTTGAAACTCTGTTTCATAATTTGATATTGTCGCTGGATTTTGATTCGTACTTCTTTAAGTTATAAGAATCACACTAAGAAAGGTTCAATATCCAAAATTAATATTACATCCATAATAGACTTTGTTCGCCCATGAACAATAAGCGCAAACCTCACAAGCTTAAGGTCCTTATTTTCCCTAAGGAAGATTGGATAAAACATTTAACCATATTTTCCTAAGAGTAGTGTTAGGGTTTATATTGATATGGGTCCTGATTCCTATGAGCGCAAGCCCTCATAATTAATTACCCCTCATAACGCATTAGAAGAGCACTCTCGATTAAGGATAAAATATATTTAGTATGTGCATGAAGTGCAGATGTGTGTGTAATAGTGGTGAATATTCTAAACCTTGGTAGTGGGGGTTGAAGGTAGACTCGATCAAGATCCCATGATTCCGTCATCCAGGGAATACCGTAGGATTCAATCTACAACACTAACTACTATTGATCGTAGTGTCCAGGGAATCTGATTAGCAGCCATGGGTTGTCTCATCTCAGGGATCCCAAGTAAACTGAGGTGGATATATGTATATTAGTTATTTAATTTGGGTAGGGATGTATGACTTCATTTAGAATTTGTCCATAGTTTAGGTTTGGATTAAGTCTTATGGCCCCGTTTAGGAGATGCCGTGTGATTGGATTTAGGTAGGGGATTACGGCTTTGTTGACCCCTACACAAAAAACCATGCGAAAAGTGGCGAAAACGATGATTTAAGCAATGCGTGCATTGACAAAACACATCACTTAAGGGGTCAAATGACCTCAAAATGCCAAACGGATGGTATCGTTGCGATCATGACACTAAATTTTGTTGGGTCGAGGCCTGTCGCAATTGAATCGAATGAGATTAGTCAAAAGGGACGACCGACACCAGAAATTAAAGCGTGAGGTTGATCAAACAATGACGGATCGACAAACGGACTTTGTCATTGCGTTCAGAACAATGCAAATACTAAAAAATTACATTTTCTATGCTCAATTTGGATCATCTGAATTGGTGGCATGAATCTCGAGACAAAGTACACATATGAGGAAAGTGGCCTCGATGTTGCCCAGACGAAATCCGATGGCAAAACGGACTTCGTCATTATGTTCTGAACATTGCAAATACTCAAAAACTATATTTTATTTGTTCAATTTGGATCATCCTAATGGGTGACACGAATTTCGAGACAGCATGCATTTCGAGGAAATCAGGCCTCGGGGTCACTCGGATGACGTCCGATCGCGAAACGAACTATGTCATTGTAATCGGGACATCGGCAATACCCTAAATTCACTATTAATTCGTCCAATTCTGACCATTTAGCGAATTCAACATGTTAAACAAGGTGATCGACACAAAAAGAGACAAATTCCACGCTAATCAAAGAATTACGCAAACAAAGACAACTTTTGGTAATCAATGCATTGCTGCCATCTCAGATTAATGGGGATACCAATAATAGTAGGTCATTATTAACACTACATATTTGTTTAACAAAAAATAAAAAGTCAAATGAAATTTCAAATCAACATTAATTATTACCTCAATGGCAAAAAAAAAATCTGTGAAAATCTGGCCAAATCCACAAATCCCGCTGAAATGAATCTTGTAAATCACGGCTTCGTCGTTGTCTCGTTTGGAACAAAGCCTAGCATTGAAGGAGAAATGAGGGCAGAGCGTGATTTTCTTCTTCCAGGAGATCGAAAGCTTTTCCGCTAAAATCCTCCAACCTGCCTTCACTCTTGACCATCTCCACCTCACAAACAACCTTGGCCAAACTCCTCTACCTGCTCAGCCATCCCAATCGTCAAAAAAAAAAAAAAAAAGCCGCCGCCCCCCCTTGTTTTACTTATTTACACTTAACCCATCACTTCCACTTCACAAATCTACCTCAAAGCCCTAATTTGCCAATTTCTCTACAGCCCATTGCATACGTATTTCATAACTCCACCAACAGCAACTTATACAGCCCAAAGGCCCAACACCTGCCTCCACCAAACCAGCCATCTTCATCCCTATTCAATCAGATTTTCCCTCTACTATTTGACGTCAGGTAAATGAGATGGCCTACCCACCACATTGTATGTTTTGCTTACAGCCCGTTTACTGAATTTTATTTCAGATTGTTCGTCTCAATTTGTACTTTCTCTCTTAGTAGAGAAACCATTTTTCTCTCAAATCCCTTCTTGTATATTTGTTTCTAGCCTTTTTAATTACTCTTGGCAATTAACATCAACAGTAATATCAATTTTGATACTAGTGTTGATGTTAATATTTATTTTCTTTTATCATTATTATTATTGTTTTATTTTTTAAAAAAAGTACAAGTGGGAAGCAGGAAAAGAGATAGGTATGTATGAAGATTTACTTATACCAAAAAATAAGAGGAGAAAAAAGAGAAGAGTTTTTTTATAAAAAAAAAAAAGATTTTGTGTATCTCGTCGCCATCATCCCCGCCGCCGACATGCAAATGTATAATCTCTAAACTTAGGTTTTCATTCTCGTCATTGGCGGCGAACTGGCAAACCCCCTACGCGCTCACGTAGCGTAGTGGGGAGGGAAGCTAGTGCGACGCCTACGACGAGACGGGAAATCGCCTAAAATCTTATCCTCGATGCTTGCGACAAGCCGGCAAACCCCCTACATGCTCACGTAGCGTAGTAGGGAGGGAAACCGGTGCGACGCTTGCGACGATGTGGGTAATCCCTGGACCGCTCATGTAGCGTGAGGGGGACAAAAATTAAGTACTCATACGTGGGGAAATCACTGTGCTTCTTTCTAACATGTGCTCTTTTAAAACAAAAAAAAAAATCCTTAAACACTCATATAGCAGGCGAGGATTAAAAAAAATGCAACCACAGTGTCATTTGACACCTACCTGAAGCGCTCAAGTAGCAACGAAGGGAAGGTTGCCTCTTGATTTTTCCCCTAAACGGGGAAGACACCAGGAGGCAGCCGAAATTTTCATTAAAACACCGGACTTCGACAAAATTTGGATAAACTGAAACAGAGGACTTGTATTTGGACATAAAATGAACTATAAAAAAATGTTGAACATAAGTAAAATAAAATTGAATACAAGTTTGGACTTGCAAGGACTACAGGGGACTCGACGAACGGAAGAGGCTCATATTGAGCCTGAACTTTATTTGAACATATGAAGAACTTTGACATTGAACTTGAACTCAAATTCACAATAAACTCAAGCAAGCTTCACTTGAATGCAAATAACAATAATTTAAACTTGAGCTTGATTAAAGAACTTTGGGACCTAATGTGATTGAATGAAATGAAACTCAAATCAAACTTGATTTGAACTTAAGTATTGATTTGAGTATTAAGTGGATAAGATTTGAACTATTTGAACATAAGCAAGAGAACTTGCAAGCTTGGATTTGTAAGGTTGAAGCTTGTAAGCTTGAAACTTGTAAGCTTGGACTTGATTTGAGTCAAGCACAATGGAGATGAACTTGAACTTGAACAATGCAAGGGACTTGATTTGGACTCAAGTGCGCTTGCACAATTTGAACTCAAATGAAACAAATTGAATATTAACTAAAGCTTGATTTGAAAACAAAAGACTTATGTTAAAATCTCAATGAATATAATTTGATCATAATCAAATGAAAGACTTATGTGGAATCATCATACATG